AAGAGGAGGGGACAACGGAGGCTGAGAATGGGGCAAAACAGCCGGGCTGGGGTCAGGAGGATGAAACGTGGGACTGTAGGCAGGAGGAGATGGGGAGGAGGGAGGAGGAGGAGAGGGAAGACCAAGGGCCCGAAGGCCAGAGACAGGTGTCGGAGGCGGCGGGTGCTGCTGCTGCCCCTTCTGCGGCTCCTGTTGCTCCTGCTGCTGCTACTCCTACTACGGCGGCTGTTGCTACGGCTACTGCTGCTGCGGCTGCTGCTGCTGCTCCTGCTGCTGCGGCTGCTGCTGCTGCTGCTACTGCTCCTTCAACTGCTGTAGCTCCAGCTGCTGCCGCTCCAACGCTAGCCTCTCTCCCTCCAACTCCAGCTGCTCCTCACGTGCACCTCCGCCGCCGCCGCCCACACCCTGACCGCCCCTCCTGCCACTCCTACCCCTAGACCGCGAAGAAGTCGTAACAGCAGCTGCGGTCACGTCAGTAGCGGCAGTGGCGAGGGAGGCAGTAAAGGTGGGCAGCTGAGGGACAGTGCACCCGTGAAACAGTGGCGGGGGTACAGCGCCTAAGGCAGAGGCTACTGAGCGGAGGTTGCTCTCGACGTCCTTGAGGGCAGACTCAAGGACCTCGATAGTGAGCTCGCTAGGGTGCTTCAGAAGAAGCGCGTCACGAACCGAGGCAAGGCGGTCAGGGAGGCTAGTGGCGATGAAATAAATAGTAATCGCCATGGGGGGAGGGAGCAGTGCAAGCTGTGCGTCAGTGCAAGCAGCGCGAAAACTAGAATCGAGCGAGTGCAAGTGAGCGATCAAGTCAGCAGAATGCTCAAACGAGGCGAGGTCAGGAAACAGGAACGGGAGGAACAGTCGACCAAGAGAGACAGTGGTGGGAGTAGCGTAGCGGGCCTTGATCGCAGTTAGGAACTCACTAGCCATGCGAACCTGAGTGAAGTGGGTCTCCTCAGACTCAAGGAGGAGGCTGCTGAGAGCGATGCAGGCCGCAGCGTCACGCGACTTTCACGCGGTCACGTCAGCACGCTGGCGGGCATAGCGGTCTCTGTCTGCAGTGCTGGCGTCAACGCCTAAGGGTGCAGGGTCGGAGGGCGCAGGAAGGTCACCGGAAGCGTGCGCCCACAGAGACTCGTCTGCTTGAACCTGAATCTCTAGGAGGCGGCGCGCACGCAGGAGCCAGACAGCGAATTCCAGCGGCCTACCCTCGGCATCAGAACGTAGAACCCTAGGTGTCACCATAGTGGCTGCGGCATGGTGTGACGGGCACGAGGGTACGGGATCGAGCGGGCGCGACGAGCGCCTAGGAACGAGCACCTAGGGATGGGCGTCTAGGGACGGGCGCGGCGCGACGGACGCGACGGGACGCAAGCGACAAACGGGACAAGGGCGACGGGACGCGTGCGACGCGGGCGACACGGGCGACGGGACGGGCGCGACGCCGGCGGGGGGAGACGTGGGCGACGGGACGGGACGGGCGCAACGCGACGCAAGCACGTTGACAGCAGATTTGGGGTTGGGGGGGGGGGGGGGGGGGGGGGGGGGGGGGGGGGCGACGGGACGGGACGGGACGGGCGTGACGCGACGCAAGCATGCTGATAGCAGATTTGGGGGAGGGGGGAGGACGCGGGCGACGTGACGGGACGGACGGGCGCGACAGGCGTTAGAGAATGGAACGGGCGCAACGGGCTCTAGTGTACAGGACGGGCTCGATGGTAAGGCGCTACGGGTGGTAGAAGGAACGGGATCCCACAGGATCCTAACCTAGGTGATACCATGTCAAGAACTGAATGATGGTTTGACTAAGGTTGGTTGGGGTACATAAACCTAACCCTAACTGCTGTACCCCACATGACATTTGACACTAACAACAACATCAAACAAGCTATATTACAGGTCGTCGGTAGTTACGATCCGCCACATGCCGGGTTTAGGCTAGCGTAGAACATCTAACTTAGTCTAGTTAAAATATGGTACTTCTCATCACGGATAGGTTGCTGGAGTGTGACTAGCGGCCGTTTTAGTTTACAGCCAAGCTTCACTGGCGAGAAGGCAGGGAGGCAAGGAAGGTTAGAAAACCTAAGGCATTCTAATTGCGTCGCGAAAAGAAAAACACAATATCATTTCGTGACGACAACAGTTGTCGTTGTGCAGCCGATTAAAATCGAACATTAGTCTAATGGTCAGAAGTTTGACACCTGAAAATGCCTTTTTCTAACCTCAACCATAAAGTGGCATAGATTTCATGCTAATATCTACAGGTTGTTAATGTTTTTTTTTTTTTTTTGTACATATGAGAAATGCTTCGCAACCCTAAGACGATTTCGTCGCCTCTTGTTTTTTTGTGTTTGTTTAATGGATTACGTCATTGTAAAGACGGCCATATGAACATACACCCCATTTTTTTAATGTAGTTGGCATAAGACCCTAGGGTGGTATATCCAAGGGAATAAAATAATATCTTGCAATAACAAAACCAGTACCGTATTCTCCCAAATATAAGACCCTTCGGAAAACAAGACCCCCGGGTCTGTAATACGGGGGTGGGTCTTTTATTTTGGCAGGTTTTCATTATACCCCCCCCCCCCCCTTGAGGAGGTAACATTACTAGCCCCCCCCCCCCCCCCCCGGAGCCTAGATACTAGTTCAATTGGGGTTCTCTTGTTCATTTCCATGCCCACACTAACAATGCTAAGAGGTTTAGATGTCCATAAACACAGACAGGGTTGATTGTTCAAGGATCAGCGGTACGGGGGAGCGCAAAAAGAGTTTGCCGAGCAGAAAGCAGCTTCGTGCAGATATGAAGAAACAGTCAGAGCAGAAGGCATGGTGCGGTTGTGACGTTGACATGCTCCACCCAGAACCATGGGGGCCGCCCCAAGGTCCCTCGTGCAGCCCATGCTCGCGAGTCGTGCATGTTCTAGACCGCCGAGGTTGGATTGCACGATGACAAGGCACGGAATCTTGCCATGTAACGCTGGATCACCCTAAATGTGCTATTTTTACCAATGAGAATCCACACTTGGATTGAATCGCGAAATACGCACATCCGCGGTCCTATCCATGATCGAAAAAAATTGCTGAAGCACCCACAACAGCTAAGCAATCAAATACACTTAAAAAAAAACATGTCGATATGATAAGACCCAGGTACTATACATTTCTAAGCCTTTGACAAGACCCCCCCTCTTTTTTCTCTGATTTTTTCATAAAACCCTAGGGTCTTATATCCGGGAGAGTACGGTATTGGAATGCCAGTCTCTATGTTTCTTCCCAACATCTATGGCTATACAAACTATATGTGCTAGTTCTGTGTAGTCGATAGAGTCCGTATGGGGTACAACCCAAAGTTAGGGTTAGTACTTGTACCCACGTTTTCATGCAATGCACTCATTCCTGCTTGTTCACTTGACATGGTATCAGAGCAGTAGGTCCGTAGGACCGAACCGTTTTTAGGGCCCACCGTTCGCTACCCCATGCCCTAGCCGCCCTGCCTGCGCGCCGCCCGCCCGCTGCCTCGTCAGCCTCGCGCGCCGCCCGCGCATCCCACCCGCTGCCTTGTCAGCCCCGCGCGTCGCCGCCCGCTGCCTCGTCAGCCCCGCGCGCTGCCCGCCAGCTGCCTCTGCTGCCTCGCGCGCCCACCCCGCAGCCCTCGCGCTGCCTCTGCTGCCCCGCGCAGTCACACATGGTGCAGCAGATCCTTCAGCGCTTCGACTTCCAGTACTCCTCACCACAGTCCACTCCTCTGTCTACCGGTCACTCGCTCTCAGCTCCACCTTCGGACGAGTCCGTAGAGCCGAGTGGCCCATACCCAGAGCTTGTGGGCTGCCTCATGTACCTGATCACCTGCACTCGACCTGACCTTACGTACCCTCTTAGCATCGTAGCTCGCTACGTTGCGCCTGGGAGACACTGGCGAGAGCACTTGGAGGCTGCTAAGAGGGTGCTGCGCTACTTGTGCAGTACATCAGGCATGGGGCTGGTGCTTGGAGGACGGGGTGACGTTGTCCTCACTGGACACTTAGACGCCTCTTGGGTTGACGACCTGGCTACACAGCGGTCGTTATAGGGTAACACCTTCATCCTTGGTTCCGACTCTGTCTCTTGGCGGTCCACTTGCTCTTCTTCTGTTCTCTGCTCAAGTTGTGAGGCTGAGTTCTACGCCACAGCCATGGCTGCACAGGAGCTTTCGCTGGCTCACCTACGTGCTGACTGACTTGTGAGAGTGGCCTCGTTCTCCTCTAGTTCTGTACGGCGACAACAAGGCAGCCCTCGCCTTATGTCAGAAGCACAGACTAGAGCATAGAACGAAGCACATCGCTCTGCGTTACTTCCTTGCTCGAGAGCTGCAGCAGCGTGGCCAGCTTCGTCTTGCTTACGTGGACACGCGGGCCAACACAGCTGATATATTCACCAAGGCGCTTCCGCCTAGTGATCATCAGCGTCACTGCACTGCTCTAGGCCTCGTGCCTACGTTCTCTCACTTGCTTACTGCTTGACCTTGCTTGTACTGTGATTTATATATACCTATCCTTGCTTGTTTAATTTTGCTAGGTTGTGATCACTATACTGCTTGCTCTGTTCTATATATCACTGCATGTGAACAGGCCTTGTGGCCCTTAGCGTGTGCTCTCGGAGTGTGTGGTGACGTTGTGATCCACCCTGAGCTTGCTTTACTTCTCTTGACTGGTCTTGTGACCCCTTGTTCTCCCCCACTTTGCCTATGGGGGTGTGTCAAACTATATGTGCTAGTTCTGTATAGGCTATAGTGGGGTAGCCCATATGGGGTACAACCCAAAGTTAGGGTTATAGACCCACCCATATGGGGTACCCACGTTTTCATGCAATGCACTCATTCCTGCTAGTTCTCTTGACAAACTCACACGTTGGCTTGTGGCTCATGTGAAAATTGAAACAGCCAGCAAAGCCGAGAGAACTATTCACATGGCTTAAATATTAGGGAGCCTGCTCCGTAGGCAACAACATTCTGCAAGTACTGTACATTAACTTACTGCATTAACATAATGAACCTCAATCAGGTTTCCACAGCATGTTGAACCATACCAATAACTGAACCTGCTTGTAACCACTTCACAATGTGCAGCAGCGCGTGCTGCAACCATATGAAGTGTGGGAATATACGTTCTTACAACTCCCCAGCTGGCAGTGCCAAGCACCACTGAGCACCAGCCTGATACACAGCATCACAATTCACGATGCACCGGCACTCGCTTCATTCACTCTCCTCTGACCCTGCACTGAACTTTTCTCTCTCATGCCCCTCCCCCACTCCCATCCCCTCTCTCTTCCTCTCCTCCCCTCTCTCTCCCCTCACCTCTTGCTGCCCTCAGCAATTGCAACTCCCTTCTGAGCTCCTGCAGGATCTCCAAACCCTCTGCTCGTTCCCTCTGAGCCTCCTTTCGAATCTTCTCCACCTGCAACATAACCTGCTCCCATGCCCCTCTTCCCGCCTCCTCCGGGCCATTGGCAAGCTGGCTCAGGAGCAGGCTCGGACTGGCTTCCCCTGGCAACTGGATGCGATGGGAGCTTTGGAAGTCGGTGGCCAGCTGCTGTCTGACTTGGTCGAAGCCACGCGCCACATCGGCCCGCAGTGCCTCCACGCGCTGCCGCATGGCCAGCAGGTCGCCCTCCTTTGCCGCCTCGCCTCCATCAGTGCTGCCAGCAGCCGTGGAGTCGGCGGTCGGCAGGCTCTCCCCCAGCTCCGACAGCAGCACCGCCCCTAGCGCTGCCACGTCCACAAGGTCCCCCTCCTGCTCGTCGGAGAGAGAGCGCCGCTGCAGGGGAAGATGGGATGGGATGGCATGGGAGAGAAAGGCAGCAAGTGCGAGAGTGTCTCCCCCGCCTCCCAGTGTTTGCGGGCAGGTCTAAGGAGTGCTGATGGTGAGAATGACAGACTGATTGGAGACACAGGAGCAGGTGGGAAGGTGCATGGGAAAGATGAAGATCGTGTAGGATTGCTGACTGCATGCTATGAGCATATCCAGCGGGTGTGCATGCAATGCTCATCCCATCCCTTGACAAGCATGCAGTGCCCCCCATGTGATGCATGCAGTGCCCCCCATGTGATGGATGCAGTGCCCCCCATGTGATGCATGCAGTGCCCCCCATGTGATGCATGCAGTGCCCCCCATGTGATGCATGCAGTGCCCCCCATGTGATGCATGCAGTGCCCCCCATGTGATGCATGCAGTGCCCCCCATGTGATGCATGCAGTGCCCCCCATGTGACGCATGCAGTGCCCCCCATGTGATGCATGCAGTGCCCCCCATGTGATGCATGCAGTGCCCCCCATGTGATGCATGCAATGCCGCCCATGTGATGCATGCAGTGCCCCCCGTCTCACCATGCGGGCGTGTGCGCGGCGCAGGATGGCGGAGAGCGAGTGGGCGTTGAGGTGCCTCTCCCCCACCACCACCACGGTCTCGCGCTCATCCAGCGTTTTCAGCCGCCAGAAGCTCCGCCGCCTCTGCACTGCCGGCTCCACCATGCTGCCACCCGCGCTGCCAGCATCAGCTGCAGCGGTGCTGCCAGGATCAGCAGCAGCGGTGGTGGAAGCATGGGCGTCCAGCTGAGTGTTGGTGTTGCCGCCTGCCTGGGACTTGGCGACCCCACCACTTGCCAACAACCCCTTCGTGCTCTCACCCCGGATTAAGCCAGTCCCTTCTGCTCCCACCATGGCCAGCACTTGTTGCTGCGCATCAAAATGGGCCTGTGCTTGCATGCTCTTGTAAGAAACAGCCTCTTTCTGCTCCGCTGCCCCATCTCTCCCTGGCCCGCCATTGGCAACAGCATCCGCCCTCCCATCCCCATCCGCATCTGCCTGGCCATTCATGTTGCTGCTGCCATCATGCCTGCCTCCTCTCGCCTCCCTGCCGCACTGAAGGCTCGATGAAAGGCACTGCTGGCCTGACTGCCGAATGCTCTTCTGAGGAGTGGTGAAAAATGGGAAAGGAATGAGAGCAGTTTGGTCAAAAGGGCAGTGATGGTAGGACGCACAGCAAGGAAGAAATGCGGGGGGCGGTGGATGTGGGATGCAAGGACGCACAGCAAGGAAGTAACGCACATACACATAGTGATAAGTTTCTGGCCAGCCTCCCGCACGGCAGGTTATGGTCTCGATATGAAAAACATCCAAACCGACGTTCTTTTCGGCCTTTTGGTCCAATCGGTCATCCGATATTGCCTTGAATAAGGCTCCGCGTGGAGGTTGGATCACATCGACATGGTCCTGGATGGGGAACCATGGGTCATGCGGAATTATGCAGGACATGCGGGTCCATTCTTCTGGCTGGAAATTAGAAGTTGGCCCTGGACTCCCCCACGCTCGCGTTTCCATCTTTGCTCACATGCTTGCTCACCCCCGTGCCCGCTCACCTCCCTGCCTGCTCACCTCCCTGCCTGCTCACCTCCCTGCCCGCTCACCTCCCTGCCCGCTCACCTCCCTGCCCGCTCACCTCCCTGCCCGCTCACCTCCCTGCCTGCTCACCTCCCTGCCCGCTCACCCCCTTGCCCACTCACCTCCAGGACGGCGTGGGCGGTGTCCTGTGCTCCGAGGCGAATGAGGTGGCGCAGCAGGCGGCTGTACCTTCTGTACGGCGATGCCACGCGGCGGAAGAAGCGCACCACAATCAAGTACATGTCCTGGTATATCGCCGATGCTTTATCCGATGACTCCTGCCAACACGTGAAAGTCAATAGGCAGAGGTGGGAAGGAGGGAGGAGGGCAAAGAGCGCAAAGTAGCAGATGATGATAAAGGAGAACCACAATATCATGCTGTTTACTCACATTCACCATCATTGACTAGTTCCACCCTGTTGACCTGCGTTGACTCACCTTGACTGCCATTGACCGGTGTTGACTCACCTTGACTGCCGTTGACCGGCATTGACTCACCTCGACTGCTGTTGACGTGCACTGACTCACCTTGACTGGCGTTGACCTTTGTTGACTGACCTTGACTGGCGTTGACCTTTGTTGACTGACCTTGACTGGCGTTGACCTTTGTTGACTGACCTTGACTGCCATGAAGGCATCCACGATGATGGCAATGAGGAAGTTGAAGAGGATGAAGCAGAAGATGATGACGAAGGAGAACCAGAAGATCATGGCCGCCGCGTACTGCCACCCCACCATGTGCTGGAAATACATCACTCCAAACTGCCCCACTAACATGAAGAAGCAGGTCTGCAGGGACAGTGACAGCGTGCTGAACTGTAGTGGGGGTAGGAAAGGGCAGCAAAGCAAGCGCACCCACGTACAACTGAGTGTTCAGAACCTCCTACACAACCCTGCAACCCAGGACATTTGGAAAGAATGAATGCGGACTTAGAACGTAAATTCGTTTTAGCAAAGCGCTAGATGCAACTTAACATTCTTCTTAGCATGCTGTTGGGGAGACTGGGGTTACAACCGTCCATCCTGCTTCTTCCTCTCCCAGTGACATGCTTGCATCCACAACTGGTTCCCTCTGGTGCTAACCATAAAAGCGTGTTACTCTGGTGTTATCGCTCAATTGTTTCTATGCCATGTTCTCCACCGAGTCTTCCTCTACGACAAACGCACCAACTGCCCCTTCCCTCCGAACGGACTTCTCGACAACGCCGCACGTTGTCGACTTGAGTGATGTGCTCATTTTCAATGGGGAGCACTTCTCCTCGTGGCGCTTCAAGTTAAAGGTCTACATGATGGAGCGCGACTTGTGGGTCTTCTTCGATGGGTCAGCATCGAAGCCTTATTCGGAGGCTCCAACCAGGGAAAAGGAAGCGTGGGCTCGAAAGGACAAAAAGGTGTTTGCCTTTCTTGTCTCCAAGCTAAGCCTCCAACTCGTTCCTATCGTGAGTCCATGCATCAACTGTGAAAGCGTGACTCGTGAAGCGTAGAAGCGACTCGAAGATGTGCATGTCTCCAAATCGCTTTATAGCAAGCTTCAAGCGCGCTTAACTTCTTCCAGTGCGGATGAAGGACGGCGAGTCATTGCGCGTATATGTCAACCGCGTGGAAGAGCTTGGCGAGCGCTTGGTGGAACTCGACGCGAGCGTCGACGACGACGATTGTGTTGTGTGATGCTATCATTTGCATTCACATCTATCTGCCTTCCATCATATCTTTCTACCTTGCATGCATGGTGTGTGCGTGCGTAAGAATTTGTGTTCGGCATGGTTTGAATTTTGTGTGTATGTGAATTTTAATTTTGTTTGAGCTAGTGCTTGAAATGACTTCTCTACTCAAGAGCTTTCTGATGAACCAAGAATCATCGCGATCTGAGCATGAACGAGAAAGTTATGATCGTTCGAAGTTAAGGTTGCGGTGCGGCTACTATGGAATTTTGTGGGGTGACTCTATATGAGGTATAGACTTTTGTGGGTTGCTGCCAAGTAATTGGGAGAAGCCAAACCATGTTGGCAAGTGTGGCCAAGTTGGGGTGAGGTGGATGGCATGGGTTGGGATAGTGACAAAGGTCAAAGTTGGGTCAATATAGGGTGGTAATATTGTGTGCGTTTCCTTGGTTTGGGAACTCTAGGACCTTCCCTCTCGTCCCCTTCGTTCCCCTCCTACCTGGTTTCTAACTACTCTAATCATCTTGTGTGGTTTTTGGTTGAATAACTGTAATTAAGTTTCAGCTCGAGCATACCCCTTAGTGCGCCAAAATTCATAACTCGAGTTCACATTAACCTATTGATACAATTCAAATTGATCATTGTAGCCACGGTCTAGAGCTACAACATATCTAAATTTGGTGAAGTTTTAACAACACACCTTTTGTCGACATCGTTTCTTGTGAAGTTGACTTTTCTGTCCAGAATCATAGTACAGCAATTTTGGGTTATTCAGCCCGTAAACCATCTACACTCCGTCCTTAATCCTAACAAGTGGTATCAGACTATGGACTTTGTGACGAGTCTAATGAGGTGTAAATACCCTTCCAAACCCACCATGGCCTCTGGGCGTGCCTAAGTAGAGTTTTGGAGGCTGAATGTGACTTTCGCTAAGGGAAAACGTTGCCGAAATTTCGTTGGTGCCGACATCTGTGGGATTTTTGAGGATCTACATTGTATACAGCAAAGGGGGAGCTAAGACTCATCATTTGCGAAGAAAAAGATGAATGAGAAAGGAGGAGATGCAGCTGAGAAGAGGAATGAGCCGCCACTATCCAAGATTGTGGTGTTGGATGGCTCCAATTATGAGGAATGGAGCGGGCGGATGAGGAGCGCCTTCAAGCGCTAAAATCTGCTGAAAATTGCAATGGGAGAAGAGAAGATGCCTGAAGAAGGAGAGGCACGTGACCAATGGATCGAGAGGAGCTCAGTGTTGTACGACCTCATCCTACAGTCGGTCAACAACGATATGTTTCACCACATCAAGGATTTGGTGGAGTTAGACGACTCCGGGCTGAAGGCATGGAAGCTACTACGCGACACCATTAAGCACAACACGCTGCCAATGGTGATTGCGTTGGAAAAGGAGCTGGCTGCCCTCTCCATGTAACCGGGAGATGATGTGAAGCCACTCCTTGACAAGATCAAGGACACCTATGCAAGGATGGCAATGGCGGGCAGCAATGTGTCACAGATGCAGCAGTACACCAAGATCATTCTGGTGCTCGACAACTCATGGGACAACCTGATTCCTACCCTCAACTCCCGGCAGGATCAGTGGACACCTGAGTGGCTACGGCAGCAGATTCTGCACGAGGAATTTTGTAGGCGCCACACGGGAGGTGGTGCTGCAAACAAATCTGATGAGGGTTATGGAGCTGCAGGAAGAGGGGGTGGGAGAGGCCAAGGTCGTGGGAGAGGCTTTGGCAGAGGGAGAGGCCGAGGTGACTATAATGAAAGGCATGGGAGCTCTAGTGGCAGAAGGAGCACCCGAACGGAGGGACCTTGCTGGTGCTGCAAGAAGGCTGGACACCTGCGGTTCAAGTGTTTCGGCCGGCCTGAAGGATAAGCACCTCCATGCATTAGGACGCCAAGTGGTGAACGTGCACGAGGTGGCGCTGTGCAAGGTTCAAGTTCACAAGGTGAAGGTGCACATGCTAACGCGCCTCCTAGGATGTTCCTTATGGTTGAAGATGTGCAAGAGAATGGGGGAGATGTGGGTTCTGTTGGGAAGATTGTGATGCATCCCCTCACCCACTTGGTGATAGATCCAAGTTGCACATGTCACGTGACCCCACGAACAGATTTGCTTGACGAGGTAAGACCCCCTAGGAAGATCAAGTTTATGGCTGCTGCTTCAGGTGCTTTGCTCCCTGTGATTGGTGTTGGGAATGCCAAGGTCATGGGAACCAATGGGGAGTTTCTGGGGCTTGGGAACGTGCTGTTGGTTGAACGTTTGTCCGCTAAACTTCTTTCCGTGCGCCAGCTGCAGAAGAGCAGGGCTGAAGGTACCTTCGGCCCAACCAGCTGTCGCGCAAAGCTTGGGAAGCCATTGTAGTGGAACCTGGAGGAGAAGAGCAGCTACATCAAGGACCTGTGGCAGCTGCCCATCATCCCTTGGAATGGGAAACCACCAGCAATGGCAATGGCAGCGACAACGGCTAAAGCAATTGCGGGAGGAGAGGAGACCGCACCAACTGATGGAGCCCTGGATGCACTTGAGAAGGTGCAGCAGCCACAGCAACCACATGGTGAGGTGTTTGCTGATATGGATGGGACAGCTGCATCGGCAAAGGCTTCATCTTGGAGTGGTGAGGCCAGTTGGGAGACATGGCATGAGAAGCTTGGTCATGTCAACATCCCTATGCTGCAGAAGATGGTGAAGGATGGGAGCTTGGAGGGGCTAGAGGTAGAGGGGGTAGTGAAGGAGATTGGGAGCTGCCCTACATGCTTAAAGACTAAGTTCACCAAGTTTCCCTTCAGTAGCGAGACAGGACCAGTCAAGGCACCACTCGTGCATGTGCACATGGATGTGGTGGGCCCTACGAGGGTCCTTTCTCTCTCGGACAGCTGCTACTTCTTGACCATCGTGGACGACCACACGCGTGCGGTGTGGGTGTACCCTCTGAAGACTAAGGGGGAGGTGGCAGCGGCTGTTCTCAAGGAGTGGATGCCAATAGCTCATAAGGAGAGCAGACACAAGGTGAAGGTGATTGGCACTGACAATGGGGCGAGTTCATTGGCATTGATTCTAAGAGGAAGCTGAAGCGGAAGGGGATCGAGCATCAGCTCACGGTGCCCTACAACCCTCAGTAGAATGGTATGGCTAAGCAGTTTAACCGGATCCTACAGGAAGGTGCATGCATTCTCCTTGTGCGTGTAGGGCTGCCGGATCCAATTTGGGTGACTGCACTGCAGCAGGTCGCCCTTGTGAAGAACAAAGTACTGGCAATTGTGGGGAACAAGCAGTGGGTCTCCTACACCAAATAGTATAGGAGTGCACCAGCAGTCAACATGCTGAGAGCCTATGGCTGCATGGTGGTGTTTCATGTGCCTAAGGAGAAGAGGGCAAAACTGGAAGCTTTTGGGGGATGGGGTGTGCATTTGGGGATTTCCACGGATCACAAGGGCTGGTTGCTATGGGACTTGACCAGCCAGCAGCTGACTGTGTCAAGGGATGTGAAGTTCCTTGAGTCCCTGAACTAAAAAGAATGGAAGTAGCAGCAGCAGAAGCTTCCTACTACACCGCTCGTTGTTGAGGCCAATGAGGTGCAGCGGCCTCCAAGGCAGGTGGAAGTCTCTCTGTCACAAGAGGAGATTTTTGGGGTGACTGATGATGGGGGAGAACCTTAGGTGGAGCAGCTGCAGCTGCAGCAGCAACAGCAGCAACCGCAGCAGCAGCAGCAGCAGCAGCAGCAAGGTGAGGTAGAGGATGAGGACGGCATGCGTGTGGCAGAGGATATTCCATTCCTTTCAGACGACGAGGTTGATGATAACACTGACCTTGATCAGCCTAGGTTTGGCGGGAAAAAATTTGTTGGTACCGTATAGTGCCGGCTATAAGATCCGGGGGACTCTCTACAAATGCTTGAAAAATTGCTTGTGTAGATCCGGGGTACACTTATTTATCATCTATTAATCTGTTATTTAGGGTATTTGACTCAATTTAGGCGCGGGAGGGGGGGGGGGGTCTTATATTCGTAACGAAAAGCACCCTTCGTATGCAAATTTTGCGCGAGCGGCGCGTCAGATCTGTGTCAGAATTTGAGTCTA